GTACACAGCTTATTTTGATGGGGGAATAGTCCTGGCAGTAATCTAATGCCAAGTTACTGGGTCATTTAGCACGTCACTTCCTCCTTCATTTAAATTGTGTGAATTACTTTCATTTTTCTCAACAGCCCTAGGAGCAAACTTTTAAGTGATAAAAGTAAAGCTGTTTTTATTATCAAACTGATACTACTGCATGGCAACACATTCATGATTTATAAAACATACCTGAATATACACATGCAGCTTGAGACAGAGGTCGGTATTTTAGAGCGATGACTTTGATCATTGCCCAGAGCAACCTCATGTTACACACTGAAAACAAACGTCATGCATTTGCTAGACACTCATGAGTTCCTTAAAGGGAACAAGGATGCTGATTTGGTCCATGTACTTAACACCCCTACTCTTCAGATTATTTTACATCAAACGTTTTCTGGTGTTGAACTTTCCATTTTATCCTTCTAGCTTTAGCAAGAGGAAAACAATATGATTACAATTTTTATTTTTGGAATTTGACTTTAAACAACAAAATGGGAAAATAATGCAAAAAGAATTGGTGCTTCAATTTGTAAGTTTAATTATTCTCATTTGAACTCTGGTCAACCAGTACTGTCAGCCCTCTCGTTCTGTTTCCCTTCTACGGCCCAGCCGTTGTTGGAAGCTCTTACAATGCTAATGTTTTAGCTGGGACAGCCATCCTGGCTCATGTGATCACATAGAAAGAAGCTGAGGACTTACCTTCTGTCAATACTCAGACTACTTGACAGCAACATACATGTCTTATAATCATAATAAAAATAATTTAACAAAGTTATTGCTCCAAATGTCTAGAGAGAGGGTGGCACCAATCATGTCCCAAAATGCATGAAGACTCAAACTGTCACCCCACAGAAACCTGTCCGAGGTACTGTGCCACTGACTCGTTCCTTGATTTTTGTTATTGATCACCCATATTCCTAGCTCTTCTTTCTGTAGTACAAATGGCTCTATATTACCAAAGGGAGGAAAAACGCCCTCTGAGCTTTAACCCGAAGAGAGATGAGAGAAAACACTCTGCAGGCTTCATCTCACAGGGTGTTAGCATCTGAAAGAAAGCTAATTTCATGTATTCTACCTTTAGTACAATTTCTACAAAACAAGATGGAAAATGCGCTGTGTATGGATTACCAATATTTATTTCTAACTTCATAGGAAGTTTAGTCACATTCCCTGCAGGGCACTGGCTGCTGACCTGTATAATTACTACTGAGACCCTAGTTGAAGAGGCAACTTGAATTTTTCAGGGAGCTCAAATGTGAAAATTCGTGACTTTTTCATATAAAAAAACCATGAAACCAGAAAACAGTGACTTTATCCTAGCAAAAGGAATGAGGATTTTCTGATACTAGCTCAAGGAAAGCCAATGTATTAAAGTATTGTCGCCACTAAGGCTTACAGTCTTAGGGAAGGAACTTTATTCCTCGAGGAAAGGAGTTTTTGGTATAATCTGATCTGCTCCCCTTTTGCCCAATCAGGGGACTCTAGGTCCAACTAGAAGACAGAGAAAACCAAAATTAATTTCTTGAACTGTTTTGAAGTTATAAGCCAAACTTCTCAGGACCACATACTGAATTAGTAGCATAAATAAACATAATAGTGCTATGTCTTTTATAAAGATTTGCCACAAAGATCACTTGTTATATAAACTGTGCAAGTGAAAGATACTAAAGAACCTTTTAAGGTTCTTTAAGAACCTTAAGAAAATGTTTTGCCCGGCCAGTGTGGCTCAGTGGTTGAGTGTCGACTCACACACCAAGAGGTCGCTGGTTTGATTCCCATTCAGGGCTCCTGCCCAGGTTGTGGGCCAAATTCCCAATAGGGAATACAGGAGGCAGCCAATCAATGGTCTCTCTCATCGATGTTTCTCTCTCTCTCCAAAATCAATAAAGAAAAAACAATTAAAAAACAAAACAAAAAGAAAATGTCTTGCAGCTAGAATCTAATATCCTACACAGGTCAAGATGTTTTTGATCTTTAATAGAGCTCTCACTATGTATAATGGCATTGGCAAATCTTTTAGACATATGAATAAAGCAGTAGAGGTACCAAAATATTGCTGCTGCCCACAACTGAAGAGAAGTGGGGTGGGGGTGGGGGTAAGGATAAAAGTACACCCCATTAAAGAGTTGACAATATTAGACTAGCCCAATCATGTCTTTTCAAAACTTGTAACTTGATTAAATAGCTATGACCTGAGGGAGAATTTAATTCATTTCTTTCGAGATTTTTAAATTCAGGCACAAGGTTCTAATAGCAAAGCACACGATGCTTTATCTAAAATTATGATAAGCTGAAAAATGCCTGACACAGGTAAAATAGTCCAGTAAGAGAAAGGGTCTGTGCTTCTGAAGAGAGAATGGAATCCTATGATTTCAAGCTACACATGACTAGATACATGTGGTCAATCACAGCATCACCTGTGTGCAGGTTACAGAACTAAACTCATCAGAATGATGTTTCCTAACAAGATGTCAAATTATGCCCTGGCTGGTTCGGGTCAGTGGTTCGAGTGTCAGCTTGTGGACTGAAGGGTCACGGGTTTGATTCATGGTCAAGGGCTGCAGGGTTGCAGGTTTGATTCCAGGCCTTGATCAGGGTCATGTGGGAGGCAGTCAATCAATGTGTCTCTCACATATTGATGTTTCCCTGTCTGTCTTCTCTCTCTTCCTCCCTCCCTTCCACTCTATCTAAAAAATATCTATGGAAAAGTATCCTCAGGTGAGGATTAACAACAACAAAAAGATGTCAAATTACCATACATAAGCGTTAGACCAGCAAGCTCTCTCCAGGTAGCAAGCCTCATTCCAGCCATCAAGACCAGCAAGTTAGTATAGGATTTTAGTCACATCTATGGTATTAAGAGCAAACTTAATTTATCCTTTGCCACTAATGCATTTAATTTTCTAAAATGTTTTCCAAAGACCATTATTAAAGGCAAGTAACAAGTTAGTCAGTCTTTCTAGAATCCAAATCAGGACCAGAAATTCACTTATATTTTTTTTCCCTAATCTATTTTGATGATTTTTCAATAGGAAGTTGGGTTTCTCATTATTCATCCAAGTACCTTTATTTCTAACACTCAGTAACAGTTTAAGATACCAAGGGAAAGTCCTAGTCTTGTTCGAGGTTGGCAGAAGCAGTGGTGGCAATTACCATGTTTCTGTAATCACTGTGAACCACTAGAACCCAAGAATCACCCAAGGTTGACTCTGAGGAGATTTAGGAAGCTGCCTTAGTCTATTCGTAAAATTAAGGGAAGACATTTCCTAAACATTTTGGTTGGTTGACATTTTTATTGCTCGATTACCTCTGTCATTACTTCCAGAAGGTCGCAATAAGCTTTGCGCAGAAAAGGGTCTCTTAAAATTAGAAGAGTAAGAAAAGTGGATGGTTCTGCTTACACTTACTATCTTCTTCCTTAAATGCCTCCTTTCTCCCCCAAAGCTATTAAACCTGGAAAATATTTCCATTAAGAGAAAGGCTTATTAAGGCTATCAATCTTTGCAAAGTATTTAATCAGAACATGCGAGGGGGTTTCTCTTGGATGGAACTAGAACGTCAGGCAAGCCATATCCACACGAAGGTGAGCGGAACAGAAGTGTGCTGGGGAGACTGGAGGGCAAACAGGAGACGCACTGTGCTCGCCTAGTCTATGAGGAGGACCCAGTCCCACTTACGGTGCTAGAAAGCCTCGGGCCCTGCTCATGAAATTCCAAGTTTAACACCTGGAAGCTCAACTTCTAACCTAAGAATCCTCCATCCAACAAAATAAGAAATCTCATTTGAATCCCCAAAGCTCCCAAGTTATCCTGGTTACTTTTTATACTGTCGACAATGAAGACAACAGAAGCACAATTTCCCATGCCCCTCTCCTTAACACCTGTCATGCTGCCCCAAGAAAGCAGAGACAGTGACCAAAACCTAAGAACACAGATCTGTGACATTTCTTTCTAAACTATTAAAACACCTCAAAGCCTGAAACCTATTACTTATTTTAATATGGAGAAATGTAGAAGCAATAAAAAGTGAAAAATATAGGACTCTATCCAGAGCCACTACCAATTGAAAATATACTAGCAATGTACTCCGCCAGCTATAATGAGTTATTTGGTGAAATACTAAATTTCAAGGGGAATGTTCATTTGAAATTATCTTTTTACATAGAGAATTCTAACTCTGAAAGACTTGGGAACTTTCTTAAAGTCATATTCTGACTAAATAACATACCCTTGGTTTTAAAGGAAAACAATTTAGAATTTAACCTATTCCTAATCTAATTTTACAGTCATTCAATAATCAACTCTGAACCAATATTGGAGGTATAGGTTTACTATCAGCTTCACCAGCCTTTGCTCTGTAACTTGGCCCTCCCAATACTGTAGTCTACCACAGCAAGACTTGGTTTTGATTACCTCCTGATGAAGATTATACCACTTTTGCAAAGTCATTTAATCTCTCTCTCTCATCTTGAAACTTTTATTTGATTTAAAAATTGCTCTCCCTCACAGAGCAGGAATTGATTGAATGGCAAAAATAATACACACGCATGCATTTATGACATAATATGGAACATATGAAATGGATTGTGAAAGTGGGGGAGGAATAAACTTTATTGGCCCACAGAAGGGATGAAGGAATCAGAAGGAGGGACTGGGGAAAAAATAAGTATGGGTGGGAAAACTAAAATGGAATGATTTAAAATGTGAAAATACACTTTATAACCTCCACCATTCAACTTAGAGATAGATATGGACTGTGAAATACAGGTAGACTAACGTGAGTTTCATTGTGTAGTTGACGGCACTTGTACCAGTTTTATCATTAGTAAGTCACCATTTAGTTCTGCCGAAGTCAGACCAGGCTCTCTGGTTAGTACGAACAAGGCTCCGTCCTGGCTGCAGCCTGACCCGCCAGCGCTCAGAAGGCATGCTTGGGATGGACTCGCACACTTTCCAGTTCCCCACCTCCATTGGCAGCCAGGGTCTCCAGCCTGCTTAAACGCTCCAGGCTTCTTCCAAGAATCTCTTCGAGCCGACCTCGTAACACCTGGGCCCCTTCCAGTTCCACCTGCAGAGTTCGGTCTCTCTCAGAGCTGATTGAACATGCCACAGGGAAGGAAAATGGATTAGCTATCAACTGTAATGCATTCACATGTGCTTCCAAAGAGTCATCAGTGACATGAGACCTTCACACGTTACTGTTCTGCAGAACACAACACATAAATGCAGTCTTTGCTCTGTCATTTGTGGTCACTGCCGGTCAATCTGCAAGGCCTACTCCTTTCTTAAAGCGTATCCCTTTATCTTATGCTCTGGGACAACCTCGCATAGAATTACAGTTCCTGAGATTTATCTCACACCCCTTCAGCACATAAGAGAAATTTCATTATTTGACTAAGAGTGTTAGTTTCTGAAAAACCAAAACCGAGGAGAAACTAAATGTGAACTGAAGCAATATTGAGTCAGGCAAGACTGTTACTGAAGGTATCTGTCCTCTCATTTGTTAACCAGACTCAACAATGCTCCGAAAAGGAGTCCAGTTCACAGGGACTGAAGCTCCAGACATTCTTTAAAAAGTAACATGGTCAAGGGGTCCTATTCTACCTTTCCTGTTTGCCTGAAGTAGAAATAAAAAAAATCGAAACCCAACAATATACTAGAAGAAACTGAATAGTAAAAGAATAAAAATTGGGAAAGAGAAAAAGGGGCTAGGAGGGAAGGCAAAATGGAAAAAGAGGGGGGAGGATATAAAATGAACCAGAATACATGGCCCCAAATCAAGAAGTACAAGAACACATATTCATCATAATGGCTATCAGTGATCCTGGGGTGATATTTGCCATTACAGTAAATACAGATTCTTCGATGATATTCAATGGATATTAGTTCCCTTTATAGCCTTAGTCTCATAACAGAACAACCTTTAGTAGGGCATCGAGCAGAAAAAGAAAGGACTATACTCTGAGTGTTTACTATATGCAAGGCCATTATTTTAGACTCCTGCCAGGTCTCCTCATTTGAAATCCTATATGACTGTATAGCTGTATGACTGACTAAAGATTTAGACACTCAGGCTCAGAGCAATCCACACAACAAATGACAAATCAGGAAGTCCCAGTAGCTGTCTCGGCTTTCTTTTCTTCCCTCTTCGATACTGCAAACATCTGCACTTAACAAGAATAAAAGGAAAAGCAGAGCAGTCGTGTTCTTACCTGTCGGGATGGGTGTGGAACTTCACCAGACTGCTATAGAGCTGTCTCTCTGCTTGTAAGGCCTCGTTGAGCCGACTCCGTTCATCGACCAGTCCTTCCAGCATCAGCAGCAACTGGGGAGAGAATAGAAGAAATATGAAAGTGCAGACATGAGACATGAAGCCAGTTAATCCTGAAAAAGAGACCAAAAGAATGTATTAGCATATACTTTGGCTAAAAGAAAGCTCACTATATTATTACTTACGTTTTCCATGTTATTTAAGTTTTCAAATCAATGTCACATGTACTGTTTTTTTTCATCTTTAGAACTCTATAAGGCAGATGTAAACATGGAAGCAAGTAGAAGAGACAGGTGCCAGAAGCATAGGAAAGAGGCAGAGAGAGAGGAGTGGAAGAGAACGAGAGGAAGGGCAAACATATAAGTAGGACTTACTGGCATTCTTCGTTCGGTAAACACCTACCGAGCCCCTTCTTCTGTGCCAGGCCCTGTTCTAGGATTGCGCTTACTATCTAGCTGAGGGAAAAGACGTTCATCAAGCTCGTTTGTCACTGTGTCGCCGTGAGCTCTAGGAAATGCTATAAGGACGACGAGCCACGATAGTGTACAGCCAGCAGAGCAGAATTAAAAGCCAGCTGGAGTGAGGTGGTTATGAGAGAGGACTGTGGAGACCGGGAGCACAGGAAGTGGGTCTTCTGAAGAGTCTACCACTGAAAAAGGTTAGACATGCGGTAGTAGCTGCAAAAGACTTGAGGGCAGAGGCAGAGGTTTTCTTTCCTTTTTTGAAAAAACACTTTAAAGATTTTTAAATTTAACCATTTAAAAAAAATGGTTAAATGCAGGCGGGATTCAGCTGAAGGGTGACTTGGGGATAAGGGATACCTGACATGTGTGACCGAAAGGGACTGCTTCTCCTTTCACAATTACAAGTGTAAGGAAGGAGCCTCCACGGCTTCCACTGACCAAGGCAGGACACTCTATGAGAGCAGATTCTCTATGGAATTCCATCAACGGACCCCTTCCTAACTAACTGAGATTGATAGCTTTTCCACCGTTGATTTCACAGTAAAAATAAAGTTTGTATTCCAATAACTTACTTGTTGTCTTCGGTTTCCTAAAGCTTCTTGACCTTGTGATTCCACCAAAGCAACTTTTTCCCGAAGAAGTAAGACTTCTTGAGTCAGGCGGTCCATAGCTGGTATGTCTTCAGGATCAACCAGTTGCATTTGCAGGTCCTAGAAGTAAAAAAACAGGAATAGTAATAAAATTACTATTGAGTAAAGGAACAAATGCTCCTAAAATAGTCTGCTATACTTTCAAGTGGGACACTGATAAGCCATATGAAGGCAATGATATATCTTCATGCAGCCTTAGCAACTCTGATACAAGTCAAAGAGAACACAAGAATATCAGAATATCAAGAACATCTAAGAGTATATCAAAGAAATAAGCACTGGTCAAGGGACTTCATGCATCTAAATGTTGTTGTAGATGCCCTACAGGTATTCTGAGCTTTAATGATTTCCAACAGTCTTTAAAAAGCTTTGAGAGACCTTTATGAGGTCTTCTTTAATCTGCATGTTCCTGGTCAGGGACTCCATATCAGCAGCCTGCACCTGCAGCTCTTCCTCTTGCACGGCCACCATGGACTGCAGAGCAGAAAGCTCCATCTGTGCAGAGAAGAAAGCCGTGTCAGTGGGCTGAGAAAAAGTATCTATCACACTTACATTTTAACACTGAGGCAGTAATACAAGTAAAAACTGGAACCTGAACAGCGCTCTCCTGGGTCAGATCAATAAACCACACAGTGTGGCACCAGAGGATGTTTATGGGAAGTGTGACAATAGTTTTAACGATGTCTTCCAGTTCATTTAACATAACATCAAATTTGTTGAATTAATAAATTTTTTATGATACTTAAAGTTGGTCACCATTAACAAATGCAAGAATAGATGAAGTTTTTCTTTCTTTCCTTTTTTTTGTTACGTGCCCCTAGTGGGAACCAAACTCAAGACCCTCTGGTCCACAGGCCGATGCTCCAACTGCTGAGCCAAACCAGCAAGGGCAAAGTTTTTCTTTACATAAGTATTTCTACAAGTAGATGAAAAACATGATAGAGCATTTTCATTTTTCAACTCTTAATGAATTAATGGATACAGACATTGAGCATCGATAGCTGCTAACGTCACAAGAGATCACCATAGTTAACCGCCTCCTGATGGAAGAACATGCCACCACCTATGACACCCTATCAAATGTCAGCACTGAATGCCCTAACCTTGCAGTGTTGTCTCTTCCATCTCTCCTCACCAGAAAATGATAAATATTCTATTATGACAAAGTTCACTAATAATCATGATGATAACCTTGCTGTTAACATTTACTGGGTGCTCACATGTCCAGGGCACCATCAATGCTTTGGATATATTTAATCCTTTTAACAAGCCTACTGGCCTGGCTCCTGCCTACTTCTCCAACTTCAATACCAGCCATTTTACTTCTCATTCATGATTCTCTGATCACAATGAACTTTTTCTGTTCCAGGAATATCAGACTTTCTCTTGACTCAGGGCCTTTGTACCTACTCTTCCCTCTGCCTGAAATATCTTCCCTAGAGTTGCCTCCTTCTCATCCTTGGGTCCCAACTTACATGTCAGCTACTCAGAGAAGCCTTCTTTGGCCTCTCTAAATTGGTGCCCATCCATGTTACCTTTTATTATTTCCCTCATATTCCTTATAATAACCTGTAATTATATTATTTATTTGCATCCTGTCTATATCTCCCTAGTAGAAGTTAATTACACAGGGTCAGTGCCCTTGTTGATTTTGTTCATAACCTCAACCTAGCACTAGCACAGGCTTAGAGAAGGTACCCAAATAGTTGATGAATACATGATTGAGTCCTCAACAACCCTATAGGATAACTACTCTTCTACTCCTCAATTTACAGATGAGATGACTGAGGCTACAAGAAATTAAGAAACCGGCTCCGAAATCACATAGCCAGGAAGTGGCAGATGCAGAATGTGAACTCAGGGAAGCAGAGTCAGCCACTGGGCTAGAATGACTTTCCCACAGATGTTGCACATCCATATATTCCTAAGTCATGGTGAGTGACTTGTAAGTAAACATTTCAAGGAAATATTTTGAGATAATTTTTTAAAATTAGTGTGATAAATGAAGACAGATAGCACACAGTTAGTTTAAGGTGCAACCAAGCACCTTCCTATGTAGCACCTAAGTGTTACATGGAAGTTATACCTCTTTCCTTTAATACATAAAATGTAAATTATAAGCAATAAAAATTTACCTGTGTATTTTCTGATTCAATCAAAGCTTACAGTATCACTGTGTGGGCTCATGATGACTTATAACTATACAGCTACCTGATGGCTCTGGGCTCCTGGGGCATGTTAGGAGGAAATGTTTCCCTCCACATTTCTTTGCATGTTGAAGGAGCCCAGGTAGTGTAACTCCTGATCTCTCTCCACCCCTTTCCTCACGCAGCCCCGGGGAAGGCAGAGGGATTATCTTAATGGTACACAGGGGCAGAATAAACCAGGCATGCTTGGCGTGGTTCCACCTTCCTAACCTTGAGGGGGAGCCGCCTCCGGGGGCCTGTTTTAGCCACGGCTTCCCCGCGGGCAGGCTCTTCCCTACCATGCAGACTGGGGGGTCTGCCGAGGCCCAGTGCTGCGTGTGACTGGGTAGATAAGTCTACCTAGTTCTGGGGACTGGCTGGCATGCTCACTTGGCTCTTACATTAAGTTCTCTACCTAAGCCTTTATCAGGAAGACAGTTGATAAAGTGTCAAACTATCTGCCATTACTTTGCTTTATTTCTCAGTTTGTTCAGGTCTGGGTTATGGGAAAAAGGGTGCTATGCATTAGGTCCTCTTCAGAGATCTCTATCATTAAATATCCAGATATTTGTTCCATTGAAGTAAAATAAAAACACGATGAAGAAACATTATTGCAGCATGATCAAGGTCTGCAGTCGGACACACGCGGGTTTCAAATCACGGCATAATAGACCTGACAAGACATTTAAACTGAACTTCAGTTTCCTCAATTGTAAAATTAGAGTAATATTTACTTTCCAGGGCTATGTGAGAATAGAAAAAATGTCTCTAAAGTGCCTGGCACATAGCTGGCAATCAATGAATGAGAACTACTACTACCACTATTGTTATTTCAAGATAGGAGGGGGGATATTTAAAAGTTTGGGAAAATCTTCATGGCTTTTGGAAAATACCAAATATTAGAGGGAAGGTATAATGAATATAAGACATTGATCTGAGAAGTTCGTAGTTAAGAACACATGAAGGTAAGTAATATAGCTAAATATCATTTACTTAAAATATCTATTTAGTCATTATAATTTTACAATCCTGAAAACAGGACCCGATCAGAAAATAGCACTGCTGCTCTGACTGAGTGTATGTGAGACAAGCGGGAAGAGCACATGGAAACTAAGCATCTGACATGAATAAGCCAACACTGGCCAGGGTAGGGCCAAAAAGAAGGGAGGGGAACTAGGGGATTTTTAGAACTGGTATTTTTAAAATGCCACACACTTTCATATCCTCAAACTTGAATCATATAACGGGAGTCTGTTTATAAGGAGATAACTTGACTTAGGAACCCACGGCACTGAACGATCTAATAGATACCATGGTAACACAAAGGCCTTTAGTTTTCATCTGGGACGCTACACTGTGGCCCCAGTATTTCTTCTACACCATAGCTGGACATACAACCAACTGCAGAAGGGAAAGAGACTCTGAAAAGCTGAGAGGCCTCTTCTAAGAAAACTGATGAAAACTCTATGCTAAAAATAAAGCATAAGGATGGGGAAAAAAACATCTGTTCCAGGAAATGACTACTTGAAAAGCATTTCAAGTCACAATAGATCTGAGTTTAAATCTTAGATCTGGCATTTCTTAATTATATGACTACTCCCTACTTCCATGTTTTAAAAAATCTGTGTTTCAGCTTCTTCATCTATAAACTAGGGCCAATATCACTTACTTTGTATAGAAATGTAAGCATTAGCCCTGGCCGGTTTGGCTCAGTGGTTAGAGCGTCGACCTGCGGTCCGGAGAGACCCGGGTTCGGTTCCCGCTAAGGGCACGTACCTCGGTTGCAGTTTGTCCCCGGCCCTGGTTGGGTCGTGCGGGTGGCAGCCATTCGATGTGTCGCTTTCACGTCGATGTTTCTCTCTCTCTCTCTCTTCCTCCCACTCTATCTGAACAAAATATCGAAAAAAATGTCCTCGGGTGAGGATTAAAAAAAAAAAAAAAAAGAAAAGAAATGTAAGCATTAGTGCTAATTTAAGTACCTAATACAGTACATTGTATATAGCAAATACTCAATAAACATTCTGACCATTCTCAAATGTTTCTTGGTCCATGTTTCCAAAACTAGTTTCATGGATCTACTATCATAATTCTAAGTAGCTGTTATATACCATGTCATTTATTCCCAAGTACTTCACAATTATTTTATTCCAGTTAGCAATGGGCAAAGAAAATTGTGTTATTTCAGTACTTAAAAAGTGTTAACAGTCCTCATGGATAAAAACAAGAGCATCTTGGAGAGGTAATGTGTATATGAAGTGATTTACATTTTTCTCCAGAAAGACAAAAAAAGGCATACTTTGTTTTTGAACCCAGATATTACACTTGGAGAAAGGTACTCTTTTAAAGAAAAACCAGGAATTTAAAAATTAGGCTTGGCTAGAAAACTCACCCGACTCTCTCTCTCTTTTTTAGCCATGAGTTCCATCTCCTCTTTGGCATTACTCAGTTCTCTTTCCAGCCCCGCAACTGTGTCCAAGTCTCCTAAAACTGAAAAATAGTGCTAGTGTTAATCATTAGTGACACACTGTGATCTTGCTGCTTCGTCTCTCAGGAATTTACTCTGAAGACACATCCTGACAATAAAAAAACAACACATAGGCACAGGTTGTTCTTTGAAGCATTATTTGTAAAAGCAAAACACTGCAACCTACATGTTTATAAAAAGATCAAATAAACCATAGCATATCCACCCAAAGGTTAAATTTCTTTTGTGATAATTACATTGCAGTTAATGTAGGCAATTGCCCTTGTTCTTAGGAAATATATAATGAAGTATTTAGGAATAAAGTGTCATGATGTCTAAGAAATTCTAAAATGGTTCAGGAGAAAAACATTGTATCTGTGTGTGTGTGTGCATGCAAAGAAATGATGCAAATGTGGCGAAATGTTAACTGGTGAATCTTAATAAAAGTGTATAGGGATAGTCAAAATACTATTTTTGCCACTTTCTATAGGTTTGAAATTTTCAAATAAAAAAATTGAAGAAAAATACTTTTTAAGAAAAGGTACACAGGAAGAAAATTAAACAAATCCAGCATTCTTCATTCTTCAATTAGCATAAAGTTTCCTACTTGCATGACTTATCTACTGAATTCCTTAACACTCTACACAAGATAGACACTAAGTTTTCACATTCTTAATATCATTAAAAATCCTAAGTTCACAACCTCTCTTATGATAGGACTGAAACCACCACTTCATTAATCACAGTGAGACCCTACTTCTGGAACTCAATGGGGAATGTCTTCCTTGAAGCTACCCTAGATCCCAACCTTTTGCTCTGTGAAAGTCAGAGACTCTAATCTCAGGTGTCCATTTGAATTTTCCTCCTACCATCCATGAAATTTGTTTTTAGGGAGTTCAAGGTCTAGAACCATCCTTTACATGGAGCTGAGCCTGGAAAATCACTTTATGTACACTGCCTGCCCCTCCCAATACTATAATGTAGGTGATGTCAAATTACAGTGAGTATCCTCAGCATTCTTGAAAGATAACCAGAAGGTGTCAGCCCCATTCTCCTGCTGTGCGGGTTGGAAACATTACCTCCTTAGGAACCCACATTAGGCCCTCAGCATGATCTCAGCATTACAGGTACTGTAATGCTTTGTTCAGTGAATCCCTGCAAAGCTATCTGAAAAGAAGGATGCAATTTCCCTGGGCCAAATTTTGTACCTGGAGCAATAACCTCAATTCAACATAAGGAAAGGGCAATTATTCCTAGAATAGACAGACATGCCTTCATCTTTCAGAGGAATCCAAATTTCGTTTTTCCATTAAGGTAGGAAGGGAAAGAGAGTCTTGGCCAAACCTATTAACAGAATTACAGGAAGGAAAACAGATTTCTTAACGAAATAAAATGAAATTTGATACTTACCTAATGAGGACTTGGGTATGCTGGTATCCCCTTTGGCAGTCAATGAATTACTATCATCTCTGGAGGGTATATGCATTGAACCCTAAAAATGGGAAGAGTTGGGGAATTTAGGAAGATGCAGAAACCAAAATCACAATGACAAAGATCTGAAATGTTCTCATACGGTTCAAATAATATCAAATTTATCCTCAAATATCTACACAAGTCTACAGTTCTTACTTGATCCGTCTGCTCTCCCAGGTGGGGGCTGATGGAGGTAACTTTAGCTGGTTGTTTAGAGAGGAGTGCTTGGGACAACGTGAAGTCTTTCCCTCCTAAATATTGGCGCAGGGCCTGCAATTCTGAATTTCTTTCCATTAGAGCTTGCACCATCTTCTCTGCGGCAGCCTAATAAAGAAATCACACAGAAAATTAGACAGATATTCTCATGAAACAAAATTTGTGTTCTGATGTTATTTGTTAAAAGTCAACTGTTTATGAAGCCACTGAGACCCCAGAAAATAGTTCCCTTGCTTTCATTTTACTGGAAAAAACATAGTCAATGAGTGAAAAGTCTCTCATAGAATTTAGGAAAAACTGAATATTACAAATATATTAAAGATAAAATTATCTGAAATTGGTTCTGCTAGAACTATTATCAGAATAAGATGTTAAGTTTCTGGTTTGAATTGGGATAACAGATGTCTTTCTTTACTCTGGGATACATATTCTTTTGACCTAGATGTTCTTCACCCAAACATTAATTTGGTTTGCTCCCCTTAGGTCTTTGCCAAATGTTACCGTATCAAATTGGCCTTCTCTGCATAGCTTATCAAAAACAGTAATTGAGTCTCTATTCCAATTCCCTTCCTTATGCTAAATTTTTTTTTATAACGTGCTTTACCAGTGTCTAATGTATCTGTTTACTGTCCCTCTCTGTCCCAAGTGGATGTAAGTTCCCTAAGGGCAGTACTGTAATGCTTTATTCAGTGCTGAGTCCCAAGCACCTAGAACAATGTCTAGCACATAGTAGGCACTCAATACATATTTCCTGAATGAATCAATTACACAGAAACATTTGTATGAGACTACATGATCAGGAAAATATGAACCTCAAAACCACCAAACCCAGTTGATTCATTTCAAATCTCAGTTTTCTAAAACATGATGGCATAATAAGGAAGAGATCTGGAACGTTATTTGTGACCATTACCACATGGAAAGTCTGCATTTAATCAGAATATCTGGAAATAATAAACTAAGACTAAAATTACTGGGGGGAGTGGGGAAGAAAGATGATGAGTCAAAACTATATTACCTATATCATAGCACCAACTGTCTCTGGGGAGAATGACTACTGTTTTAAATGAGAAGCTGAGCTCTTGTCATAATTTCTAAGGGAAATAAAAATAACCTTCCATTTTCAGTAAGTAAAAACTGGGCTCTTTGGGGATTTGGACACAATCATCTTAGAGATATCAATACATTATTAATTTCGTTTATTAAAAATCTCTGGCCCTGGCCGGTTTGGTTCAGCGGTTAGAGCGTCGGCCTGCGGTCCTGAGAGATGCGGGTTCGGTTCCTGCTAAGGGCATGTACCTCGGTTGCAGTTTGTCCCCAGCCCTGGTTGGTTGTGCGGGTGGCAGCCACTCGATGTGTTCCTTTCACATCGATGTTTCTCTCTCTCTCTCTGTTCCTCTCTCTCCCTCCCACTCTACCTGAACAAACAAACAAACAAAAAAATCTCTGTGAAGAGATTTTATTATGGGAAAAAAATAAACGGCATACAAGATGTCTAGTGGTCTGGCTCGGTACTCTTTTTCAAGTTTTTAGCAGTGCTCCTCCAAGTGTGGTCCGTGGACCAGCAGCATCACTGTCATCTGGAAGCATGTAAGAAATGCAAATTCTTGAGCACCACCTATACCTCCTAATTTCTATCTCTGGGGGTGAGCTTGGGAATCTCTGTTTTTAAAAAGCTATCCAGGGGATTATTCTGCATGTAAAATTTGAGAAGCAGACCTGGAAGAATACAATCTTTACTCCTCTTCTTGAATTGAAAATCTTCTGCAATGTCAGCCCTCTCCTAGGTTCCATTACTTTACCACCAGCAGTGTATAACATTTCTGAGGTGTATAGACCAATTCTTTCAAATTACAAAGGGGTTAAGAAGAAAATTCAAATGACTTGTTTTAGCCTCCTGCCAAAGACCTCAAAAACCCACAATGATTTGGCCATGTCTACCCTAGACACAGTTCTGCAGCACAGCCAGCATGTTTCTGACAATACATTTACTCCAATGGGCCCAGGAACTGGGGCAGGGCCTAGCACCATCCCACACCACAGGGAAGCAGCCGAGAGGACTGTAGTCAAATAACAAGCAAACGATAAGACTCTAGTTTCCTCTAAACACCAACTAGGGAGATTCTGAGCAACTGTCCTGAAAAGGCAGCATAAGTCAACTGCACCATTCTTGAGCCCTGAGGAGAAAGATACATGGCAATGAGGATAAATTAAAAATTTACTTTTGAAATACATGGGTACCATTATTTTGAGATTAGATTAATATATCCCATATTATTATGAGATTATTTATTCTCATCATGGCTTTGAAAAAATCTTTTCATTTCCTCTTTTTTTTTATCCTCACCTGAGGACATTTTTCCATTTTTTGTTCAGATAGAGTGGGAGGGAGAGAGAGGAAGAGAGAGACAGAGAGAAACATCGATGTGAAGGGACACATCGAGTGGATGCCACTCGCACGACCAACCAGGGCCGGGGACAAACTGCAACCGAGGTACATGCCCTTAGCGGGAACCGAACCCGGGTCTCTCTGGACCGCAGGTCGACGCTCTAACCGCTGAGCCAAACCGGCCAGGGCTCATTTCCTCTTAAGGTAACTCACATTTTACAAGAATTAAAAGAAAATATATGGCCCTGGCCAGTTTTGCTCAGTGGTTAGAACGTCGGCCCAGCCCTGGCTAGTTTGGCTCAGCGGTTAGAGCACCGGCCTGCGGTCTAGAGAGACTCGGGTTCGGTTCCCGCTAAGGGCACATACCTCGGTTGCAGTTTGTCCCCAGCCCTGGTTGGTCGTGCGGGTGGCAGCCACTCGATGTGTCCCTTCACATCGATGTTTCTCTCTCTCTCTCTTCCTCTCTCTCCCTCCTACTCTATCTGAACAAAAAATGGAAAAATGTCCTCGGGTGAGGATAAAAAAAAAAAGAATGTCTGCCCAAGGACCAAGGGTCATGGATTCAATTCTAGTCAAGGGCACATAACTGGGTTGTGGGTTCAATTCCCAGCCCCAGTCTGGGGCATGCAGAAGGCAACCAATCAATGTGTCTCTCCCATATCCATGTTTCTCTTTTTCCCTCTCTTCTAGCCTCTCTAAAAAAAAAAATCAATGGAAAAATATCCTGGGGTGAGGATTAACAAAACAAAACAAAAAACAAGCAAAAAGGAAAACATATGTAAGTATTCCACCCCTTGGCTGGAAATACAAAATATTACTTCATATCTTACTAATTCAGCATCAAAATCAAAACATTCTGGACGCCATATCCCTCTGGGTCAAAATTATTAGAATACTAAGGAAAGGAAAATGTACATAATGAAGTTAATGGGTGGGGAATGCATCGTTGAGGCACCCTTTCAAATGCAAAATGTTCTAAAAATATTTCATACTTTGATGATTGATGTAAAACGTAGTCTAGTTAACAGATTGAAGGGGGAAAAGCCTAACAGAGTGAACTGTAAATGACAATATACACATTACAAGGTCCAAATGTTCTCTATCTGCAGACTATAGTCTGCTCTGTGTGTTAGTCCTTACCTGGCTCTGCTGCTCCCTGGTGCTCATGGACTGAAGCAGGCCCTGAACCTCCAGTTCATGTTCCACCACTTGTTTGTTTCGATCACTTAGAAGGTCCTGCAGCATCCTTTCCTTTCGCTGTAGACGCTGGCACAGCTCCTCAGCTATCTCACTGTGCCCTGGTCCGAGTTTGCAGAGTAACGTTGCACTAACATCCTGAGACAGAAGAAACAGTGTAAGTTTTGGAGGAAAGAATTCCCTCTACTGCATATCAAAGGGCTTATAAGAATGTATTATAGAAGAAAGAGCCGTGAAATTCTGAAGAACAAGTATCAATGTTTCATTTATTTTTGTTTCCTCAGATCTACCACAGGCCTGGCACATAGAAGGCTGTAAATACATGCTCAGTGAATGAACACTAACAATACAGAAAAATGCTTATCATAGCAAGTGACATGGGCTGCACTCTGGCTCTGCCACTTATTAGCTTTGTTAATGGGTGGGGACAAGTTACTTCACTTCAGAAGTCTGTTTTCTTGTCTGTAAAAGAGGGATAAGCCCTGGCTGGTGTGGCTTAGTGGGTTGAGCATTGTCCCATGCACTGAAAGGTTGCTGGCTGGATTCCTGGTCAGGGCACATGCCCAGATTGCAGGCTCAGTCCCCAGTAGGGGGCTTGCAGGAGGCAGCTAATCAATGTTTCACTCTCACATTGATGTTTCGCACTCTCTCTCTATCCCTTCCCCTCTCTCTAAAAAATAAAAATAAAAAGGGGTAGAAGTATGTATCTCCTAGACTTGTGAGGATACAAGTTAATATCCATTAAGCTCTTAAAATGGTACCTGGCATAGCATGAGCACCATAACTAATAAAGGTTAACCATCATATATATTATAGGTGCGTTAAAAATTTTTTTAATTTTATTATTCAATTACAGTCTATATTCAACACTATTTTGTATTAGTTTCAGGTATATAACATAGTGGTTAGACAATCATATACTTTACAAAGTGATCTCCCTGATATTGCAAGTACCTATTTGGCACCATATATAATTATTACAATATTATTGGCTATATTCACAATGCTGTACTTTAATCCCTCTGACTATTTTGTAACTACCAATCTGTACTTCTGTAGGTGCATTTTTTAGAATTCACTAATCCTCATACCTTGAGTTTATAGGAGTAAGGACAAAAGCCCAGTGAAAGCCAATGACTTTCCCAGGCACAGAATGGAATTAAAGACGTGGGTCACTGGCCTCCCAGACCTCAAGAGTCCTAATCCAAGACTGAGATGACGTAACCAATAAACCAATTGCCTTTAAGTTAACTAAACTCTTGCCTCCACTTCTTTGTTCCTGTCATGCAGAGATGTCTGTAACTGCTGAATGATACTTTCTTGTTCCTTCTGCCAATGGCTAAATTTGGTTTCCATTTCTTCTTTCAGCCATTGCAGGTTTTGACAGGTAGCAGTCAACTGTTCCACTTCCAGGCCTTTGGCCCTCAGGAGACTCTCCATACTCTACAGTCATCAAGAAAGCAACCATAAGTCAAAGGACCAACCCTACACCTCAGGTTACACAAGAAACCCAATCTACCTTTACGTTATCTCCTATATTATCAACTATTTTACAGAGGGAGAAAACTTAGTATTTAATCTAAAAATGCCATATACTAATCTATTTTTTTGTTTTTAGAAACTCTCATCAAGCTTGTAAAGAGATGATATAACATACACGATAAATGACATATTTTGGGGGAGTAGGCTATACTACACAAGAAGTGAAGAATTTTAAGAAGTGGCAGTTGGGCCCAGCCAGTGTGGCTAAGTGGTTGAGTGTCGACCCGTGCACCTAGAGGTCACCAGTTCGACTCCTGGTCAGGGTACATGCCCAGGTTGTGGGCCCAATCCCTAGTTGGGGGCATACAGGAGGCAGTCAATTGATGTTCTCGCTCATCGATGTTTCTATCTTTCTCTCCCTCTCCTTTCCTCTCTCTCTAAAATCAATAAAAAAAAAAAAAAAAGAAGTGGCAGTTAGATATATAAGTTCTAAAACAAATATCCAAAAATAGCCCAGAGTAAATATTAATAAACAACAAATGTTCTGATTGTGGCCACACACAAACACGTATATAACATTAATGAGACAATCACAATATAATAGTTGCACCTTGGCAAGGAATACATTAAAGTATACATATATTGACAAGGATTAGAAATTAATTAGAACTATAGAAATCATATTTGCTGCCTCCCTCTACAAAGTTCATGAAAGTGCTAAAACTTCTCACTTCCTAATCTCTAAAGATGAAACTAATGACTATTATTTTTGTCCTTGTATTTTTTTTCTTAGAAAGCATATACGTTGGTTTTCAGAAAACGGTAAAAGAACTAATGCTTTAGGAATGCAAGTAGGAGAGGGACGCCAAGTCATAACGGATTTTGTTCTTACCTGCATGGTAGCTTCATTTGAGGAGAGGATCCCGCGCAGCCTCTCTAAGTCCAGATCGCGCTCTCTCACGGCAAGACGAAGTTGCCGCAGCTCTTGTTCTTTTTCTTCTAGAGTGGAGAACTTTTCATCTATAGCCCGCTGCAAGGAAAGCAAGGATCCTAAAGCTCTGTAGGGGTCACTATTCTGACCACCCCTTTTCAATAAGAGTCCAAATATAAAGGAATTGGGAGAATCAACTCTGAAAAGCAGCAAACCCAGAAGACACAGATTTCTATAGGACCTACGTGGATAGAATACCCAGCATGTGAGCGAAATTACGGGACATACCTCTAGAGCAACATCTCTGTCTTGTATTCGCTGCCGCAGTTTCTCAAGTAACATTTCATTTGCTTCAAGAGTTTTGTCTGAGTTATCTCGATACTGCAGGAGCTCCTGAAATTCCTAATGAGACCAAAAAATATTTTTCTTTATTCATTTATCCAATATTAACTGAATTCCCAAACTCTGCCAGGCAAACAAAATGTTATCACTTTCAAGGGAAACCGTTTTGCAGATATAACAAACAGGAATTTTTAACTACTCTGCATCACATATATGTACATACACACATGTGAATAGCTAGCCAACAGGGGAACACAGGATGCATGGTCTAACTCTGCCTGAAGATGTCACTAAAGATCTCACAAAAGATTACAATTGCTCTGAGTCTTGAGTTTCTCAAGTGAAGAGGTGGTGGAGGTACTGCTATCAGAGAAAAGACTGCATGCACAATACACACATACTATGAAAAAATTGTATGCACAATGAAATGTGAGGGATTTAATGTGACTGAAGCTTTGTGCAGGTGGTAGAAGTGATCACTGTCTCCTTTAGTGTTCCATTTTTCCCTAAAACTTTCATTTTATGATCTAGGGAAATTTCTATACAGATGTGTTCACCTACTAGACTCAGAGTAGTGGCCATATCTTCTCTTTGTCTTCCCAGCATCTAGTTTACTTTCTGACTCACAGAAGTGCTTAGTCACTACTTGCTGAGTACTTACTGCCTGAGTCTTTCAGGTCTGTATTTATTGTTTTATAGACTTCCTGGTTAACATCTTAGTTCATGATCATACATTCTATTTATTTTGAATCCTCCTGATCCCCACCTCTCACTATTCTACACATGGCAGGTACTCAACGCAGTTGGACTGAGAAGCTTGAGATTACATGATCAGGACTGTCCAAGCTCCATAAGCCCAGTTTTCGTGGAATTCATTGTGTGACTCACCTGAAGCAGCTGCTCTTTGTGACTCAGGCTATGGGTTAGGTGCTGAATGTGTTGCTCCTGAGTTCGAATCTCATTGCATTTTTCAGCCTCCAGGGTATGAAGCTGTTGGCTCTTATTCTGCAATTCTCCTTGTAGCTGCCGCAAGGCTTTTCGCAATTCCTGAATTGAAAGGATTCCCGTTGTTATTTTATTTTATTTGAATTTTTTTAAGAGTTTACTTGAGCCAAACTGATGATACAAGCAAGATCCTAAGTGCTCCCCGACATTCCGTTTTTTAAAATAATTTAAAAATTTCACATGGTCATTAGACATGGGGGGGAGGCTGTTCAAGAGGCAACTGATCGATGTTTCTCACATTGATGTTTCTCTCTCTCTCTCTCTCTCTCCCTTCATCTTTCTAGAAAACATGTTTTAAAAAAGGAGTAATTTCATATATTGCCTCCTTCATGAAGCTTTCCCTGACGCCCTTCCTCAGCCCCGCCTATATACTTCACCTGCAGTATTTACCATACTAAGATTCTGTTTACATAACCATATATCATATTAAATTATAAGTAACATATGAGGAAAGAGCCTGAGATCTTCACTATTGTACTTCCAGAACACAGCCCAGTATTCGGCACATGGTATGAGGGTAACAAACGTTGAACTGAATTACTCAGATCAAGTGACTAAAGAGTTCAACACAAACTGTCCTGATAAAAAGTTATTATCAAGGCAAAGTCAGTCTTTAGGGCCACAAAATAATTAATGATCTACCTGGTTATGTTTCCAAGAAGCCTCTTTCTGCTGTTCTCCCTCATGGGCTGTGGCCTCGACAAACTGCACACATCGCTTGGCGTCAGCCAGCTGGCGTTCTTTCTGGCGTACGGCCCTCTGGAGCTTCTGGATTTCAAGCTGGCTGCAGAATAAAGCACTCTGAAGGTCAAGCAGAGCCACCTGTTGCTGAGCTGGAGAAGTACCCTCTGAGCTCTGAAAGAGTAAAAATCATGATCACAAGGAGAGTGGGCACTGAGCAGCTGAGAAGACCAACAAAATAAGACAGTGACAGAGAACAGCACATCTCCACTGGAGTCTGCCTGTGACCCCCACATACATGGAGCTGTCCAAGCTGGCTTTCATGCAGCATTTCTCGAAGATTCGCCATTGTGTCATTTTGACCCTCGATCACCTGGTACAACTCCTCGGCCTGAAAATTAGAGCGGGAGTACCAAACGTATTAGTAAATGAAATATTAACTCCATTTTCTCACCTGTACAGATTTTCGTAACAGTGCTATTCCAAAATACCAATTCAGGTTAAGCCACAATTTCTCTAGGGTAAAATTTATTAGTCTGACAATATCCATTTCCATAAAAATGTAGAATCCTGGTCAGCTTTAATGGGGAAAATCATTTCCTTGCACCTGCCAAATATTTTACCTCATTTTCCTTGCTTTTCAGAGTTTCCTTGAGGCTTTGAATTGTACCATCTTGTTTCTGAGATGTCTCCTGAGCAGACTTTAGTTCACAGCTCATTTCATTCAGCTTCTCTTGAAGAATCTGAATTCAGAAAAGTAAAAGAGTTTGTTAGGTCAATGATTTCTTTTAATCTCAAGTGCAACCAAAAACTCCTCCCTCAAATCCAGGTTTAGAGGATTTCTTGGGGAATATTACCTTGTTATTTTTTCCTAAATATTAGTGACCACTAAAGTCCTAAGCCAATCAGCAAGACAAAGTAGCAGGAATGTGAAATGCTTCCTTCTATGCTCAATTGCTTCAATTCTCATGCACTGTGCTTCCTCTGTGGTGGCAGCTGTACTGGGCACTTGTCCACATGAGTCTCTGTGGATCCCTACACCAAGAGCAAGGAGCTTCTGCTATCTAGTATAGGACAGGACTACACTAGGCCAGAAGCTCAGCGTCCCAAATTGTGGGACTTTTCTTCTAAGTAGATGTTGAAATCCATGGGCTAGGAAGGGGTGAGAAACTAAGATCCAAAGCACAAACCTCCTGTCTCCGCACCCTCTACAGTTAAATATCACACTCAAGTTTTAATCACAGACCTAGAAGAAACTAGAAATTCTGATCTGTGCAGAATAGGCTAAAATCCTGATGCAAAATAAAGAGAACAACTACGCATTTAAATCAATTATCAGTAATACACAGCATCCACCTCCCAAGTCCTACTCAGAGACATTAACAGACAGGTTGGAGAGCCTGGGATCTCCAAGGGCCACCAGGTGATCATACCTTGTTGGTGGCCTCTGTTTGCTGGATTTTTTCCTGGAGTTCTGCTATGTGGGAATCTGATACAGACTGTTGAGTTATAACGGTCTCATCTGAACTCAGCTTCTGTTGTTTGGATAACTCTTCAGTCATGGGCTAGGAAGAAGCAGTAAGACAAATGAGTTAAAAGTAATCAACAATAAACTGTATCTTCAAACCAGAGTTGTTGCATGAGTTATCAGTACAAATTCCTGAAGACTGTTCTATTCCTTATTAAGAGTACTGATTCAGCCCAGCCTGTGTGCCTCAGTGGTTTGAACACCATCCCATGGTCTGAGAGGTCCCGGTTCAATTCCCAGTCAGAGCAAATGCCTGGGTTTCAGGCTCGATCCCCAGTGGGGGTCTTGCAGGAGGCAACTGATTGATGTTTCTCTCTCACATCGATGTTTCTATCTCTCTCCCTTCCTCTCTCTAAAAAAAAACAACCATTTTTAAAAGGTCACAAATAAATTAATTTAAAAAGAGTACTAATTTAAGTGGGAGGAACAGAGAGAAGGGGGTCAATGGGGGGAAAAGGGAAGACATCTGTAAGACTTCTAACTAATAAAAATAAATTTAAAAAAAAAAGAGAGAGAGTACTGCCCTGGCTAGTTTTGTTTAGCGGCTAGAACGTTGGCACTGGGACCAAAGAATTTGGGGTTCAATTCTGGTCAGGGACATGTACCTGGATTGCAGGTTCCAACATTGGCTGAGAGAGGCAACCAATCAATGTGTCTCTCTCATATCGATGTTTCTCCTCCCCGCCTCCCACTCTCTCTAAAATCAATGGAAAAATATCCTCAGGTGAGGATTAATAACAAAAATAAAGAGTACTGATTCACTCCATACTTACTATACTCCCTAGTTCCCCTCCGTAATTCTCCCTACGAACTCACATAAACACTACCTATTCAGTTAAAGCAATTAATTCAGTGTTTAAAGAGAGGGTAGGATTCAAAATAGAAAGTGCTTATGATCATCAAATATTCATTTTCTCTTGTTTTCAATCAGGAAATTCAAAAGGCACATTGATCAAATGCATGCCATCCCTAAGAGAGGAAAAGTTACATTCTAGCTATCTTATAACATGCCTGCTCACATTATCAGAAACATTGGCAGATTTTGAATATGAGCTATACATTAAATAATAGTGCTTTATCAATATTAAATACTATAGTTATTTAAGAGACATCCTTATCTTTAGGAAATAAATGCTGAAGTATTTAGTGTAAAGATTCATAATATCTGCAACTAATTCTCAAATAATTCAGGAATAAAAATCAAAGTGTTTATATAGATAGTGGGAACAAATGTAGTAAAATCTCAGAGTTCTATGTACCTTCCTCATGACTTCTCTAAGTTTGAAATGATTTAAAAATAAAAAGTAAGCCTGGCTGGAGTGGCTCAGTTGGTTGAGTGTTGTCCTATGCACAGAAGGGTTACCATTGCTGGTTCAATTCCCGATCGGGCACGTGTGGAAGGCAGTAATCAGTGTTTCTCACTCTTGCTCTCCCTTCCTTTCTCTAAGCATGTTCTTGGGTGAGGATTAAAATAATAATAAAATAAAAAGTAAAAATATGTAAAAATAAATCTAAAAATCCATAGTGGTCTGAGAAGGAAGAATGTCTTATAGAAAGAGCAATTCACCAAAAATAATTCAGGTAAACACACACACACACACATACACACACACACACACATTATTTATATATGTGATGACCAATCAGACTAAGATGAACTTGTTGAACTATACCGGTATTCATTATGAGCTTGGAGTACTTACTAAAATAAAGCTTTAGGAATTCACTGTGGCATTAAATCCCACCTCCTCCCCTGCCCCACTCCAATTCCAATTAGAAAAATATAAACCCATTAGGAAGAGAAAAAAAGGCAACCAGCTTGCTATTCATTTTTTTTTCCTTCACACTTTCAAACTCTACCACCTCCTAGGCAGTGGAATTACATCTTACCTTAAATCCCTTCCTGCCAGCAACTGACTGGGAGTATCAAGATTTCAGGAGAAAAAATACTTCCTATTCTTTCAGTGCTATTTAACAATTTTTCTATTCACCATGCATTATATCGCCTTTGCTCAGTGTACTCTAGCCCTCTACTATCCAGCACATCTGCTGAATACCATAGTATACAAAGCACTGTGAAAGCTGAAGTGGGAACTATGAATAAAGGAACACGGAAATACACAAAATATCAGATAGTGACAACCCTCATGCAGTAAGGTAGAAAGCACCAGCCCTGGCCGGTTTGGCTCAGCGGTTAAAGCGTCGGCCCTTGGACCGATGAGTCACGGGTTCGATTCTTGTCAAAAGCACGAACCTCAGTTGCAGTTCATCCCCAGCCCTGGTGGGGTTGTGCGGGCGGCAACCAGTCGATGTAGCCCTATCACATCGATGCTTTTCTCTCTCTCTCTTTCTCTCCCCCCTCCTTCCCTCCTTCTCTATCTGATAATAAGTAGAAAAATATCCTCGGGTGAGGAATAAAAAAAAAAGAAAGCATGATTAAATTACTCTAAATTGGTTGATCAGTGGAAAGTCTCTATGAGGCAACACTTAAATGGGCATCTGAATGACAAGAAGCCTGTCCTGCAAAGATCTACAGAACAAGCTAGGCAGAGGGAACAGCTAATGGCAAAGAGCTAGGGTAGATATGAGCCTGGGAAAGAGAAAGGCCTAAGTGACTATAGAGTATCGCTTTCCAATAGAAATGCAATGAACCATATACATAATTTTAAATTTTCTAGTATCTTCACTGGCTAAAGTAAAAATAAATAGGCAAATGTAATTTTAATAAAATATCTCATTTAACCCAATGTATTATATCCAAAACACTATCATAAACATGTATTCAATATAAAAATTATTAACAAAATGCATTTTTGTCATACTAAGTTTTTGAAATTAGGGGTATACTTTACAGTACATCTCAATTCAGATTAGCCACATTTTAAGTGTCTAATAGCTACATAAGGCTAGTGGCTACCTTGCTGGACAGATAGCACAGGGATAGAGCATAATGGTCAAAGGAGGTAGCAATACGCGATGAGATGGAAAGTAGGCAGGGGTCAGGTCACATATAGCTTTTGTATACCAGGGTTAACAAAACTGAATTAATTCCCATTGAAATGAGAAAGGAGTGCAGTATTTTTAATAGAAAAGTAATCCAATCATATTTAATTTTTTAAAAAGTCACTCAAGCCCTGGCTAGTTTGGCTCAGCGGTTAGAGCGTCGGCCTGCGGTCTGGAGAGACCCGGGTTCGGTTCCCGCTAAGGGCACGTACTTCGGTTGCAGTTTGTCCCCGGCCCTGGTTGGTCGTGCGGGTGGCAGCCACTCGATGTGTCCCTTCACGTCGATGTTTCTCACTCTCTCTCCCTTCCTCTCTCTCCCTCCCATTCTATCTGTACAAAAAATGGAAAAATATCCTCGGGTGAGGATATAAAAAAAAAAAAAAAAGTCACTCAAGCTGCCCTGTGATGAATAGATTGTGGGGGAGCACCAGTAGCAACTTGGAGACCAGGTAAAAGGCTGTTGCAGTAATGTAGGTGAAAGATAACAGTGCCCTGGATTATAGTGTGAGTAATGGAGGGGGAGAGAAATGGGTAGATATGTTTTGAAAGTACAATCAACAGGACTAGATGGTAGAAGAGAGGAAAAGAGAAAAACAGCAAGGAAAATGACTCCTAGAAAAATTGAGGTATCTGTTGTTGTAGTATAACAGGGAGCCTTACCCTGAAGCAATGTGAATTATGTCACACATGGGAGAGATAATTATTTAATAGACATGTATAGCAATTCTAAATTATAATTTTATCATTTATTTAATGATAAAACATTGTCTACAAAACTTGGCTTTTTATTTCCTCTAGTAAAACAACTTACCAATAACATCTGTTATAAGATATTTTTAAAACTTAAACTACTAACAGAATTAAAGAAAACAGCCTCATGTTTAAAATGGCAGGAAAGGTGGTCATTATCTATGCACTTTAAACCAAAGACTAAGCATTGTGAAGCAAACTTGAAGACAAATCATCCGGTCCAATCTCATCTTACATTTGAGGAGATGGTGACTTAGAGATAAGTAATTTGTCCAAAGTCACACAGGAAATCAGGAAAAGGTTCCAATTTAACTGAATGCATTTAAGTTGGTAATTTATCTTTCACCTCTATAAAACCACTACCTACCACAATGCCTGAAAAAGCACAGGGACCAAAAGTTTTTGTTTAATAAGTAAAGAATAATAAAAAGCAAAAAAAAATAGGCCCGTCTTCTAATTCTCAGGCAATGTTCTAATCCTTTAGTGGCTCTCTTAAAAATAAGACTAGATAGATAGATGATAGATATTTAATATAGATATTTCAACAGCAACTTTAAAGCCAAAGAATACCACAGAAAAGTACAAATGAATCTGGATCTCATCTGAACCCATCGTGGCATAATTTTAATTAAGTTGCTTTTGACACAGTTAGGACAAATTCAGGATCAGAAAAGAGAATTGCTTCTAGGCCTAATGTAGTATATTGGAAGACTTTTAGGCTAAAAGGCAGTAAGTAAGATCTTCTGGGTTAACAGCATTTTTCTTGGCACTTCTCTAGTTCTCACAATACCAAATCATAGACCTCAAACTGTTGTAATTTTCTGTCCTATTGCTAATAAGAAGAAATACATAAGAAACATCAGCTAGCATAAAAGCCTAATCTTTGACCAGCATCTAACACCCCTTCCAAAAGGCCTGATCTATGTTGTGTAGCTAAACTATGAGAGGTATAATTTACCACAGTCACACAGGAGCAGACCCTGGCTTTGCAAAGCTTGAAGCAAAGATCTGCTCTTCGAATTTAGATAGAAAAAGAAACTGCACATGGGCCAGAGCTGAATTGCTGCTTTCAAAGGAACCACACCCCCTTCTATCATAGCTTTTCTAGTTCAGGGCCAGACAAGAAAGAAGGAATAATTACCAGCTAGAATAAGGCTTCAAATCTTTCTTTAGATATTTAAACAACTTTGTGTATTGAGGCATACATTCTGTAGAAGGCAAATAAGTCGATTTACAAAATATTAGAAAATTAGTAAGCAGAAGAATGACACTGTTGTTTGTCTT